TACTCAAATACTTTTTTGAAGTATTTGAAATAATTTTCAAATACAAAACAAAAAAAAATGCGTACGTATACGACATACCTTACCTACCTAATGTTCGTATTATATTTCGCTATGATAATATACTATATTGGTAGGTAGTAGGTACCGAAACGTACCGTTCCAATCGTCGTCGAGTGTCGACGATAAACAGACGGTTTCTCAGAGTAACTAATATTAATTAGCTATTAATAGACGAAAACTAAAACCAATATAGAATTGTTCATAAATAATAAATATATATTATAATATTATTAAGACATTATTATTATTTGACAATGAATAAAAAGTTGAAGGAATAAAAAAAGTATTCAATAAAATAGTATTCAATAGTAAAAAAATGTATTTAAAATACCGTTCAAATACTTCAAAAATAAAAGTATTTGAAAAAGTATTCAATACGGAAAAAAGTATTTGAATACTTTTACTCAAATACTTTTACTCAAATACTTTACAACACTGCCTATAGGTATACTTTATACCTATATAATAGTAGAATACTAAAATCATTTGCGCTTAGCTGTATGAGTGTATGACTTGTCCGGCGCGGATCCAGAAAATTTTAACAGGGGGTATTCAAACAAACAAAAAAGGTGCTCTGCTGTACAGTAGGTTACAAGTGGGTCACTGTATAATGGATGGTATTAAATATGAATTCAATGATATAATATCATGGTATAAGAAAAACGATTCTGAACGGAGACAGTGTCAGTCTAGGTATAAGACATATTATATAGGTACTTATCTATCGTATTTAAAAAAATTGACCTATAATAGGTACCTATAATAAATTCCAAATTAATCATATCACAATATCCATTAGGTGCTTATGTATTTTTTTGATTTTTTGGTAACAGAATTAACTACTTATGTGGAATCTTGTTTTGAATTTTCAACCCTTAGATATAAAAGTTGAACATTTTATAAATTTTTAACTACAAAATAATTATTCAATTTTGATAAATTTTGTCAAAATTCGATCTTTAAATGCTTATAAAAAAAAACTGTGCCTATGTATTTTTAATATTTTTCAACTTCTATTGTAACAATATATCAGGAGCCTTGTATTAAATTTTTACACTTTTTGGCCCAACAGATAAAACTTTATTGATATTTATAGAAAAAAAAACCCAAAAAAATTGAAAACTGTAAATGTCCGTACACAGCTCAAAAAAGTCAAAATATTTTCAAAATTGTATGGTGTATAGGAAATGCTAATATTCAGTGAAATTTTCATGTATCTATAGTTATTCATTATTGATTACATAACAAAATAAGGAAATCGCTACATGAGAAATCGAGTGAATATCAATGTTGTAAAAATTTGAATTTCAAACGCTCATAAAATTTAATTTGACTTTCCGGTAGAGATTTTTTTATTGATAAAGGTAGATAAACTTATGAGTAATCTTGTATTCAATTTTCAAATGTTAGATTTAAAAATAAAATTTTTATGTATTTCTAACTCAAAAATAATTGCAAATTTTCGTGATTTTTACGTATTTTGTCAAAATTGAACTTTAAATGCTTCTAAGAAAAAATTGTGACTGTATATTTAATATTTTTCAAATGTCATTGTAACAGTATATGAAGAGCCTTGTATTAAATTTTCAAGCTCTTTTACCCAACATTTAAAATTCTATTGGCAATCATAGAAAAAAAACTAAAACAACTGAAAATTCATTATGTCCGTAAACAACTCAAAACAAGTCAAAATATTTTAATCGTGTGAATTTTATCGTGTATAGAAATTAATGCTAATATAAACATTCAGTGAAAATTGCATGTATCTATGATTATTTTTTTTAGAGTTACACCAAAAACCAAAATCGATTTTGTTGAAAACTGATATTGCTTATAAATTCCCATTTTTCCTTAGTTTTTATTTAGTTATTCTAGGCGCTTTTAAAACTATTGGAATTTTAAATTTTGACCTTCTGAATGAACCAAATATATTCACTTTCCCATCAATCGAGATAGGTACTATTGAAAAAAATCGAATTAATTGTACTTCCTCAAACACGGTGATGATAGAAACAAAAAAAAAATTTAAAAATTTATAAAAAACAGAATCTAAAAAAAAATGGTTAGGTACACCTTTCTATTTTAAAATTTTGAATACAAATGTTTTTTATTAGTGACTTGGAGTGCCTTGGACTTATAGAGTGACAGGGGATGCCCGAGCACCCATAGCCCCCCCCTGAATCCGCCCCTGAAGTCAGAATATTGATTATTAATCTAGACCTTGCATCTTAAATCAAATTGTACCTACACGTAATATTTTATTGCAACCACTATATAGAAGCCTGAATATATAGATCCTCCCACACACTATTCGACTTACTATAATCAACGAAATAAATTATTTAATAAGATAAAAGGATATAGTATAATATATTAATATAAAAGCATAGAATATAGATATTTTATCTTTACTAATTTACGACATATACCCCTTTCGTTTTTAAAACTTGATTTAGGTACACTACACATAAATAAGTAATTGCTTAATATGATTAAAAATGCAATAAAATTGCTATAATAAACAAAATGTGAATATATTTTCAAAATTCGAAGGGTTGGTCGGAATTTTGGTCTGGCGGCGAAACGGTGGCGGCGAATCGGTGGCGGCGAAACGGTGGCGGCGAAACGGTGGTGGCGAAATGTCCGGCGGCGAAACGTCCGGCGGCGAATCGGTCGGCGGCGAAACGTCCGGCGGCGAATCGGTGGCGGCGAAATGTCCGGCGGCGAAACGGTGGCGGCGAAATGTCCGGGTCCGTGACGTCATTTCGGCGTCCTCTACGAAATAATGTTAATTGGGGTCTGGGGATTATATGTTTTCAAAGTTATCTATTTTTGTTGTTTACGGCTTTTTCGTCTTTCCTAGAATATGGATAATGTGCGCGTATACCTATCAGGGTTCGCGCTTTACCATTAATTAGTTCTGTGCTCTTATCGATGTGGCTGCCCGGACGCTTATATAATTACTATTATCGGGTTACGTGCCCCCTGCAGCATTTATATCTGTTATTGAATATAATATATTATATTATAAGCGGATTATACTTAATACAGCATAATATAATATATTATTTTATATATTATTACTATTATTAATATGTACGTAGTCACAGCCTGTTACAATGTTTCATACAATTCATGGGTCATAAATCGTATTTATTATAGGTTCTAGCTCTTTAAAAATGATTACTCTCGAAGGAGCCTTCAAAAATATTTTTTTGAATTTGAAATAATTCGATTGACTTTTGGGAAATTTTTTCTAATCGCCGGTACTAAAATATTATCGGCCTACAGTTTATTCAATAATCGTAGATTGCAAACAACAAACAATAAAGATAATGAATGTAGATAATTGAAAAGCTAACAGAAACTGAATGTATTACGATAAAGTGTAACTTTCAACAAGAAAAATGCAAATAAATGTAAAAAAAAAGTACAAAAATAAGTAAAATACACCAAAAATACTATAACTACTGTAAATTACTGTAAAGCAATAAATTCAATAAAAATGCAAAAAATGCAAAATAAAAATTCTACCATTAAATTCTATATTCTATGAATCAAATTTCTTCAAAGATGAACCTCAAATGTAAGCATTAGAAAAAAAGATGCTAATGTATAAAGTTCCGGGCCCTAATTTAAATAAAATCACTGAATAATATAAATTCAACATATTATCAAAGGTTCTTGATTTGTTTTTATATAGGTTAAAAATAAAAACTATAAGATACTTCCACACATGTATTAGCATGAATAAGATAACAATTCAACAACTAAAAATAAACAAATATTCTTTTTAATAGTTTAAAAGTAGACAATAACTTGAAAGGAAAATATTCAAAAAATAAAATAAAATTACTTATTGCAATAATAGGTAGGTACTTAAAAATCATAATATTATAATATTTTAATATTTGAATATCACATTTTTTTTTTCATTATTATTTAACAGCGTATTGGTAATAGCTATATAAATAAATTGGATTACAATAATACAAGTATATTTACAACATTCTGAGAATTTTTTTTATAATCTTTAAGTAAACGATCACAGGGATACCTGTGGATACTTCCACTACTTATCAGGTATACACTATTTATCATTTACGTTAGGTCAAAACAATTTACAATATAGGTATAAAACTAAGATATAATATTGTTATAATTTCTAAGAAAAAATTGAGAATTTAGTTTTAACCCCACATTAGGCATCTATTTGACCATGTTATATTTTTCAACATTATTAAAAAGATGTTTTATACATTATTATTAATTTATCAAAACAAATAGTTAATTTCTACAATTTTTACAATTTACAATTTTAGTAATAAAATAAAATAAAAATTGTCATAAAAAGTTACTTCCTTATACATTAAATGTATAATATTTAATAAACAGGAATGTACAAATTATATAGAGCCTCGTGGCAAGCAATTTAAGTTATAAAAATACCCTTGGTAGCCAAGTTGTTATATTTATTTAGAATATTGTAATAGTATTTTTAATAATATTTGTAAAAGATACATTGAGTATCAATGTTTAAAATATAAAATGTATATGTTTTATTCAATATGTAAAAAAGTGCTCTCTTTTTCACATAGCGTAATTAACAGCGGGTTAAAAATAAGGTTCCTGATAGTAGCAAAATAAATTATTGTAATATTAACAAAGTAGTTTAGGTAGTATTTTTAATACTTTATACTTGGATTTTATCTTATTTAACAAGAATACTATGCTAAAAGAAATTTATTATTCATCATTTATTAGTAGTAGTTAGTTAAAAGTCTGAAATACTACTATACATAATATATTATTCTCTATGGTACACATAACAAGTTTATTAAAATTTAGATTATCCACAAAAAATAATTTACAAAGTGTCTTTTACTAAACTATTTAAATATAAGTACCCTATTTTTTACTTATTTATATACTTCAAGATTTTATAAGTCCAAATAATTAGTGTTGGTCATATCATGCCGTAATTTACTTATATCATTTAACAGTGTTCTTAATTTTTCTTCGTCGTGTTGCCGTTCTACTAATTGGTTAGTTAATATGTTTTGAATACTGAAAAACATTAAAAGTCGTAAGATAAAGTTTATGTTTTACAATTGTGGAAACTTAAATAAGATAATTTAAAAATTATCAGTTTATAAAGAATCTAATATATAAGTTTTTAAATTTGAAAATATTAAATAATAAATTATAAGTATTTACTTTTGTTTATTGTTAAGTAAAAGATCATCAGTTTTAGTTCCATGAAATTTTGTATACATTTGATTTATTTTTCTCACAGATGCTATCCACCGCTCTTTGAAGAACATACATGACCTGTTAGCTTCTTCAAGATTACTCTCTAAATTAGACTAAACATGATAATTATTTATTAGTTATACATAAAAAATGTTTAAATTTAAATGACATACAATTTTTTCCTCTAATTCTTGTACATGCAAACCACAATTGTTATTGTACTTCAGTTCTTCATTTTCTTTTCTTAATAAAGTATTCATTTTTTCTGATCCATGCAATTTTTTTTTCAATTCAAAAATATTTTTACTTAGCTCATCATTTGTTTGTGTATTTGAAGACATTAATCCAATATATTTATTATCCATACTATCTTTTTGACAGGCTAACTACAATTTCAATATATTTAAATTCAACAGAAAAAAAGTTAAAAACATGTTATCATACTTCTAGTTCCTTAGCTGTTACAATTGCATCTCTTTCTTTTAACTTATCAGACATTTTGTCCAAATCCTTAGCTAATGCTTTACATTTTGACATAGCATAAGCAAGTTCCTCTTCAATGCGTTTTCTATCATTCGACCATTTATTGTTAAATTCTTTTAACAGTTGTTCTTCTTTCGTTTTCATCTGTTAAATATAATAAAAATACATAGTTACTTAAATATGATAAGTTATATAAATAAAATAAAAACCTTTTCATTAAACAATATCATTTGTCTGTCTTTCCATTCTTCTAATTCTTCAATGTTTTTTTGTTGAACATCAACATCAAAATGTAATTCATTTCTAAAGTAAAATTTAATTTATATGTACATATATGCTTCACGTATACAATATAATTTAAATAATATAAGATCCTGATTAGTTTTGTCAAAACTTACTGGTATTCATGTTTTTCTGGTGAAATATCTATTTGTTCTGACATAATATTTACATCAGGATTTGGTAAATCTACTTCAATGTTTTCTTCATAATGTTTGTTGTCTTCTACTGAAATAAAAATATTGTTATGTACATGATGATCATAGCATTACAATACCTAACTCCTTTTAACTCTGAAAAAAATAATTTAGTGTATATGTTCAATACAATGTGCCCCATTAAGAAATGACTAGATGGTGTCATGATACCTTAAGTTATGAAAAAAAACCCTTTTAAAACCTAGGTCTAACTTTTTTTCAAATAAACCCAAATCTATCACATATTTGCTATTGTATATTACTATATTAAAAACTTTTCGACTTTTTATCAACTTTTTTTTAAAGCTTTTTTATTGCACTATCAACTAAAATACACAATCAAACCAAAATAAACAAATTATTTTTATTAAATTAAAAAAAGTAATAAAAAGTAGCATTATTGAAAATTTTATAGAATCATAGCTATGTCCGTATGCATAGTCAATTAAGTGACACATAAACAGACTATGCATACGGACACTAGAGTACTACATTTTGTTTTCATATCTTTCAGAATGTCAGAGTGATACTGCTGCTAAACGCGACACGACTTTCGTGATTGTAATTATTGTCCATTGACAATGTCCAACATTTCATAACAATGGTCAAAGAGCTTAGATGAGACATGTACTAACAAAGAGGTAAATTAAGGAAAACAAAATGTTTAAGGTATTCTAGGTATTATTCTGGATAATAAAATATAAATAAACACTGTAGTAAATACTTAGTTTATTGGAGTTATACGTGATTCCCTTTCAAAAATGGTAATTGCTGGCCGGCCACTTCTTCACGGGACACATTGCATAAAATATGTTGTACATTAAGATAATAGTCTTCAAGGCCCTTGCAAATCACATCAAGTTTTCATCGAAATTATGAAGCAACTGACAAAAATTAAGGTACTTTTAGTGGTTTAATATAAAAATGTTAAGATTTTTGTTTTGGTAAAGAAGTTAATTTTGCATCGGTCTGAGCGTATATTCAATGTTTTTAATAATTTCAAGATATTTAATATAAAAATCGAAAAATGTTTATTCCCGTCAAGAACTCGCTAAAATTTAAAAAGGACTCAGATCAATGCAAAATAACCTTGTTTATGCATTCAAACATCATTACATTTTTAAATCAAACCTTTAGAAGTACTTAATTTTTTGCCAGGCGTACAATTATTCTATCTCCAAAAATTGGTTTTAAATATTTTGATCTAATAAATAAATTATATGTACAAGGGTGTGTGTAATATGTATGGTGTCAGTGATGGTTGGGAAGTGTACAGTTTAAACACACTAATGATAACTTACTATACACACAAATACGAGCTGTGACCACAAGGAAGAAAGAAAAGTATAAACAAGTTTCTTAAAAATTACACGTTTGCAGGGGCCTTAGACAGGTACCATATTTAGTGTACTGTAAATAAGTAATAATCAGATACGTCAAATGGACATAGAAATTGGCTAGTTAACCTTTGATTACGTTTTAATTTAAAATAATCAAACAGCCCATGGGAGGTATAGTGATCAAAACGAAAGGATAAACAAATTTATAATTAATCATTATTGGCTCAGTGTGAGCATATCTAGAATCGCATAGACTAGACGGATGTAATGTTTTGCAATAACACTAAATATGACAGGTATTCAATATAAAACAGTAGAATGATTAATTATAATTTATAATGAAATTGGCAATTCATAGATTAGCTATCAGGGCACTATGGTAATACTCAGAATCGACTATGAATTTCTCAAGTGCGTGGGCTAGGTCGATGGTCACATAGGCCACATCCTTGAGAACCGAGATACAGTATCACTAGACAAGGGGAGCGGGGACTGGACTATAAGAAGGACCCCGAAATGGCCTGTATTCAGACGTGCTCACTCCAATGAACTGAAAGCACCTTCACGACACTTTGGACAACATAATTGTAATTTGGACTCTGCACAAATTATTGAAGAACATTATAATAAAACCACATTATATTTACATCTGTCTACACTTTATTTCAACAACTACCTCATCTTCATCGGCGAAATGGTCTAGCTACCTGCAACGTTAATATACAAGTAGTCACCTGGACTATCAGTATATTACACTAGTAACAATGTTTTAAGACTAGTTGGTTATAGTAGCAATAATATTGATAACATTTAAATTTTATTGTTATTTTATTGTGAAATTAACATAAAATTACATTATCTTTTGGTCAAGAAATATTACATAAAAAGTAATAGTGTCAAAACATATACTAAAGATTTGTGTAAATATATAGTAAGTAGTTGGTACATGTTTATAATATAATACTTTACTTTTTTTCAAAGAAGTTTCAACATTTTTATTCTTATTATTTATCCATTTTAAGGATTTAATTTTTTCAGGTGATTTTCCAATAGCTTTATCATTTGAGTCTTCAATTAGTAATGATAAATTGAGATCATAACTACAGTTTTTTGATCCTATTAATTTGTATGATAAATTTTCGATCTAAAATTTAAAATTTTGATATTTAATTATAATTTCTTTATATTTAATGAGCAATACATTATTAAATGGTATATGCTAACGGAGAGGTCTCCAACCTACAGCCCGGCAAGGTTTTTTCACTGGCTCTCCAAGCTAATTAATGTTTTGAAAATAATATATTTATTATATTATTTTCATTTAGTTTGCATTGTTTTTAATTTATTACATTAATTAATTATTTTTTGGTTGTTATTCATAACAGTTTAATAGTCATTTAAACCTATATACTAAGTACTAATACTAACTAATAATAGAAAAACTCGTTATAAAATAAAAAAAGTATATAAAACAAACATTAATTGTTTTAAATAAATCTTATTTATTCTTCAATTACTTCATTGCTCTATTCCTCTAAAAATGTTGGGCCGCGAGGCCATAGCGTAAAAAAAACAGCCATAAAAAAAATGGTTGGAGACCCTTGTGCTAATGCATTGAAACTAGAAAATAGTATTACTTACACGATCATTGGATGTTGGATAAATAGTTTGTGCACCTTTCACTTTTAATAAAAGGTAACCAAGCCTTTCATTTGAATTAGATTTGTCTATTGGAATACGAAAGCACTCAACTCTTATAGATGCATTATCCATTTTTAATCTTAGAAAAAATAAAATTATCTTCATAAACTATTACAAGAAAATACGAAGTATTTTGTAGAAATAAATATAATTTTTTGTTTTTACTTTTTTAGTGTAGCATTATCCATGTGCCATATAATATCTGAGGCAAATTTTAATTCATTTTTATTGACCGGGATTATAGCTGTTTGTAATGTTTGGTTCTTCAACGTTGCATAAATTACAATAGATCCTTTGACCAAACCAAATCCATATGCTAAAAAGTATATATATTAGTAAATGTTGGATAATAAACATGAATAATTAATATTAATATTAATTACATTGATATGTTGAGAATATAAAATGTAATAATTATATTCATTATTAAATGAATAATTATTCATTATTTTCATGAATTAAATACATTTTATGAAAAATTAAAAACTCTTCTATTCAAACCATTTTTCTATTAATTAATGAAAATATGTTTTATTTATTTATTTTGTGATAGGTAGGTATCTCAAGCTAATTATTTAACTCTGTTCCAAATATCAACAAATGTATAATAAAAATAAAATCCAGAATAAAATCCTAATAAATTGAATATCATATTCAATTTAGTGATAAACTGATAACTTTAATTACTTCTGACTTCCGAGTAAGTATAACTATTTTCACTTCTATATGATGCTAATACAGGTTAACGCAACTAATGCAATATTGGAGTTAGTTACTAAGGGCCAGTATTACAATAGTCGATCTCCGGTTAAACCGAGGAATTCAGACGGTAAAATCAATTTGTTAAGCGTAATGGAAGCAGTGTAATCATCTATTGTAATATAGGCCCTAAGACTATCTTATTTTTACGCATGATTCATTAGGTTTATTGTGTTTAGAATGATATCAGAATTTATTCTATGTTCTGATTATGAAATTTATGAGGTATCTTAAATTGTGTATTTTACTATTAAAATATTATATACACAGTAAAACCCCTTTATAATGGACCCTCTATGGCAAAAATACTACCTAGTTATTATTAATTTCCGTAAATCAAATTATGTGAAAACTATAGCCAGTCCTAGGTAGTAATTGGACGATGCTCGTGCTAAAGGGAATAAGTTCAAAAGCACTGTTTTGAGAAAACTAATTGTACAAATCCTATTTGTAGGACAATGACTGATAACTTATATATTCTTTCTCATAGGTTTTATCAAAAAATGAACCTACAATTTGTTTAATTTTTTTTGCCAATAAGATGTGGATTATAATAATCTACAAGAATATTCAATAACAAAAAAAAAAAAAATAGTAAAAATGGACTTATTCTCTTTAGCCGGGCACCTTCCAATTATTCTACGGTGTCCTATTTCCAAAATGTAATGATCCAACCTGAGTTTATTTTTAAAATTATCTTTTTATTCATGGAATCCAATCCTTGAAGTTGATTTGCCATAATTCTGTTTCAGAATGTTTTTGTTTTTGTTATTTTCAAATGTTATGAATTTATTATTTTTATTTATATTTATTTGTATTAAACAGTCAAATTATTTTAAACATTTTCTGTAAACTAAAAATGACAGGAAAATAAAAACTATTGTTCATCACTAGAATAAGAAAACACGGATATCGGACTTCAGAGTAAGTTTGTCAATAGTCCGTAGTCGAACGTCGGTTAAGTATAAACTTATAAAATCCAGATAGATAAGAATACTTTTTTCTTATCACTTATCTATCCCGTCGTTAATTTATCATCTCATCATCATTTTATCATATTTTAAGAAAGAGATAGCATACGACTTGTTCCATCATACATCCATACTTCATACCTTTACTTCATACCCAATACTTCATACTTCATATTAATTATGTTCATACTTCATACCATGATTAAGAGGACGCTATACCAGCATGTGTTGTCTCCGTCTTACAAATCTACTACATAGCGAAAACTGTCTTTCACGGAAAAGAACCGAGAAAGCTACAGTCATAAGTTCTAACTAAGAAACGAGGTTTTCACCACATAAAAAGGAGAACTTTCCAATTGCAACGATGTTTTTACTTTTTATATATCACTTATATGAAAAAAGTTCTTACTGTTTAAAAAACCATTATTGATTGTATTTTAGATTCTCAGTGGAACTATGAATGTATTGATTTTACAATACCTAATGTGTATTTTTTAGATTCTGAGTGAAACGATGAATGTATTGATTTTACAATGATGTGTGTTTTTTTTTATTTTTTTATTTTTTTATTTTTTTATTTTTTTATTTTTGTGTCTGTGTACACGATAAGTAGTCGAAATAATGCTTCGATTTTCGACTTCAGTATCTTGTTCGATTGGAAAGTGAATATCGTTGGTGCATTGGGGAGGTCAAAATTTAAAATTCCCAATAGTTTTCACAAAAGCCAGGAAAAACAACATAAAAATTAAGGAAAAACGGGAATTTTACGCAAAATCGGTTTTTGACAAAATCGAATTTGGTTTTTGGTGTAACTTTTAAACAAATGGCCGTAGATACATGAATTTTTCACTGGTTGTTTATATTTGCATTTTCTATACACGATAACATTTTCAAAATATTTTGATTTATTTTGAACTGTTTAGGGACATTTTCATTTTTCATTTTTTTTAGTTTTTTTTCTAGAAATATCAATAAAATTTTATTTGTTTGTTGCGAAAGCTTGAAAATTTAATAGAAGACTCCTAGTATATTGTTTCAAAGGCAGATGAAAAATATTAAAAATCGTTGGTCACAGTTTTTTTTTATAAGCATTTAAAGTTCAAAAATTGACAAAATATGGAAAAATCACGAAAATTAGCAAATTATTTTTAGTTAAGAATTCGTAAAAATTTTTCTTTTTAAATCTAAGATTTGAAAATGTAATACAAGATTACTCATAAGTTTGTCTACCTTTATCAATAAAAAAATCTCTACCGGACAGTCAAATTAAATTTTTATAAGCGTTTGAAATTCAAATTTTTACAACATTGGATTTTCACTCGATTTCTCATGTAGCGATTTCCTTATTTTGTTGTTATTCATAAACGAATAACTATAGATACATGAAAATTTCACTGAATGTTTATATTAGCATTTCCTATACACCATACAATTTTGAAAATATTTTGACTCTTTTTGAGCTGTTTACGGGTATTTTCATTTTTCAATTTTTTTAGTTTTTTTTTCTATGAATATCAATAAAGTTTTATCTGTTGGGCCAAAAAGTGTAAAAATGTAATACAAGGCTCCTGATATATTGTTACAATATCAGTTGAAAAATATTAAAAATACATAGGCACAATTTTTTTTTATAAGCATTTTAACATCGAATTTTGACAGAATTTTTCAAAATCTCGAAAATTATTAATCATCGTAATTAATAAATTATAAAATGTTCAGTTTTTATAGCTAAGGATTGAAAATTTAAAACAAGATTCTACGTAAGTAGTTAATTCTCTTAACGAAAAATCTAAAAAATATACAATCACAGTTTATTTTTATAGTCATTTTATGTTCAAATTTGGACGAAATTTCATATTAAAAAACCTAGTTATTTTGTTGTGATTATATAATATTATTCGTGGGTACGGGGTACCTACTTGAAACTTCTAAAGTGTATTATTATATATCGATGATAGTATCAGGGTTTGTTATTGATGTTGATGTATAACGTGTTATAAGTACCTAATGGATATTGTGATAATGTGATATGATTAATTTGGAATTTATTATAGGTCAATTTTTTTTTAATACCATAGATTTGTATATAATTTATCTTAAACCTAGACTGACATACCGTCTTCGCTCAGAATCGTTTTTTTTATACAATGATATTATATCATTGAATTCAAATTTAATAGCATCCATTATACAGTGACCCACTACTGTACAGCAGAGCGACATCCACTTATTTTTATTTGTATCTATGTACACGATAAGTAGTCGAAATAATGCTTCGATTTTCAACTTCAGTATCTTGTTCGATTGTAAAGTGAATATCGTTGCTGCATTGGGGGGGAGGTCAAAATTTAAAATTCCCAGTAATTTTCAAAAGCACCAAGAAAAATTAAGGAAAAACGGGAATTTTTACACAAAATCGAATTTGGTTTTTGGTGTAACTTTGAAACCAACGACCGTAGGTACATGAAATTTTTACTGGTTGTTTATATTTGCATATTTTTCTATGCGCGATAACATTTTCAAAATATTTTGATTTATTTTGAACTGTTTAGGGACATTTTCAGTTTCCAATTTTATTAGTTTTATTTTTTATGAATATCAATTAAATTTTATTTATTGAGTAAAAATACTTGTAAATTGAATAGAAGGCTCCTAGTATATTGTTTCAAAGGCAGATGAAAAATATTAAAAATCCTTAGTCACAGTTTTTTTTTATAAGCATTTAAAGTTCAAAAATTGACAAAATATGGAAAAATCACTAATTCGTAAGAATAAAGAATTCGTAAAAATTTTCATTTTTAAATCTAAGATTTTAAAATTGAATACAAGATTCCTTATAAGATTATCTACCTTTATCAAAAAAAAAAAAATGACTATAAGAAAGTCAAATTAAATTTTTATGCGTGTTTGAAATTCATATTTTTTTAACATTGGATATTCACTCGATTTCTCATGTAGCGATTTCTTCATTTTGTTGTAATTCAAAAACTAATAAGTAACTTTAGATACATGAAAATTTCACTACATGTTTATATTAGCATTTCGTATACACCATACAGTTTTGAAAATATTTTGACTATTTTTGAGCTGTTTACGGATATTTTCAGCTTTCAATTTTTTTAGTTTTTTTTCTATAAATATCAATAAAGTTTTACCTGTTGGGCCAAAATGTGTAAAAATGTAATACAATGCTCCTGATATATTGTTAACAATATCAGTTGAAAAATATATAGGCATAATTTTTTTTTATAAGCATTTAAAGATTGAATTTTGACAAAATTTATCAAATTTAAAATTGAATAATTATTTTGTAGTTAAAAATGTATAATATGTTCAACTTTTATATCTAAGGATTGAAAATTTAAAACAAGGTTCCACGGAAGTAGTTAATTCTGTTACCAAAAAATCTAAAAAATACTTTGGCACAGTTCATTTTTATTGTCATTTTAAGTTCAAATTTGGACGAAATTACATAATAAAAAACCTAGAATAACTATTTTAGTTATTTTGTTGTGATTGTATAATATTATTCGTGGGTACTTGAAACTTCTAAAGTACACTATTATATATCTTTGATAGTATCAGGGTTTGTTGTTGATGTATAACGCATTATAAGTACCTAATGGATATTAATATTATGATATGATTAATTTGGAATTTATTATAGGTACCTATTATAGGTCATTTTGTTTTAATATCATAGACTTGTATATAATATGTACAGCGATCGCCTCCCCCCTTAAGGTGACTTACATAGTAATAATTGGTAAATTTTATAATTTACTTTAAATTATTTGAATTTTTTTTTCATATGAAATTATAATAAAATATGAAATTTCATAAGATCATCTTATTATCAAAACACGTATTCGGGGTCATAAAATTTATATCACGGACATGAAGATTAGAGATGAGGAGACCAAACTCAAAATATGGCTCGACAAATGTCTCAAGGTTATTCAGCCACCAGAAGCAAGTCGTTTTATAGCAGTGCTACATTTTACAATTATAGCATGTAGTATAATGTTGGTTGTGTACGTTTTTCGAATTAAACTTGATTTATTATTCCTTACAAATACTTTATGATCTGGATCAGATCCAAAATATATATAGGTAGGTACAGGAATAGGGGGATCTCGGTTAAAATTGGTATCAATAATAAAAACCAAATATATATTATAAGCTATTAAACACATTGACAGTTAAAGTATTTTAAGTAGTGCATTACATTTGTATTTTGTGTTTCTGCACCTACACATTAAAAATGGTTAAGTCTTGTACCAGGGTGTAATAATGATTATGCTCTAGATGTCAAACAACAAAAAATAATTGGATTAAAAATTAAAAGTTTATTTAAAGCACCCAAAGTAAAAAAACATAATATCTTCACCTTATTTATGATTTATGAATAATCATTTTCCTATTTAATTATTTGTTACATATGTTATTTGGAATACAGAGCTTTTAGCAAGATGGCAAAGAACTATAACCTATGAATATATGATGAAAATTAAATTTGTTCAGAATGTCCTTTGTCTAAAATTTGATCTAGTTATTGATTTATTCTTTGGGCTCGTTCATTGGTGTTGGTTATGTCTTTAATATTCAAACGATTATTTACCATATCTCCACAGGAAACATTGAGCCCCCTCCCTCCTAGCCAAGGTCTAGAGACACCCCTATTTCACCTAAATACTACTGTTTTACATATAAAACAAATGACGATGGGCTACATGCTTAGTAAATTATTCTTAGTTGTTGTAAAATTTGTAGTATAGAACTACTTACATTAACTATTTCTTGCTAACCTTTTAACTTCATAAATCCATATCTCATAAGTATTAGGTGTATTATTGTATAAGCAGGGCAGGGCTGGGCAAGATACCTCTAAATACAAGATACAAGATACATGTATCTGAGATACCTGTAAGATACAAGATACTTAATATATTTATTTATTTTTATTAATTTCTTAATTTACCTTGGATACAATTTTATCATATATAATTTATATTATATTATAGGTTTTAAACGTATAATAATACGGTATGCATCGATCATTAACAATATAATTTCAAATAACATGAGATACGCTTAAAACAATAATAATAATAATAGACAAACAAAATAATAAGTAAAAAGATTTACAGTCTATAAAAAAATTACGTACACAATAAGAAAACGTTATAAAAAAAATAAATATATTTATAAATTAGCAATGTTTACTTTGTTTACACATTTATTATTTCATCAGAATTTAAACTCGTATAAAATTTGCCATCTAAGCATTTTGGAATATTAACAATTACAATTGCATATTTTGCTTATCCATGTTTTTAATAACAGATATTTAGATATTAAATTAATATTTACAAATATTAAAACAATGCACAAAATATAATTTCTTCGACACTTTGTCAATCTACACAAACACCGCACAGATGCATAATACGCACGAGACAGACAGAGAATATGAACGGACAGTCGTCAGTCGGCGACCGGTGATCAACAAAGTCTTATCGCTGATATAATATTATCGCCAGACACCAAAGTTACTTTAATCTAATATATTATTATCTAACATATTATAACTAATTGGAAAAATTGTTATATAAATGAAATATGAAACATATTTTTTGAATGTAGGTATCTAGTATCTTAATCATAAAAAGATACTAGATACAAGTCAATAAAGTATTTATATACCCGATACAAGATACATTCAAATTATGTATCTCGATACAAGATACAAGATTAAATGCTAGTACCTAAGATACTGCCCAGCCCTGAAGCAGGGTTTCTAGTCTACAGCCTACAGAGATGTTTTGGTGGAGATTGTTTTGCTATTGGTACTAGATCTTTAAAAATAGGTAAAACAAAATGAGGTTATTGTTAATGGACCAGTATACAAAAGAAATAAAAATATTTACAGATTATGATGATATTAATTTATAGCATTGAATCTACTATAATAATATATTCATTATTATTGGTTGTAATTCAAAAATATTTTTGAAAATTCTGAATATACAAAAGTTATGAATTGATTTATTTTTGTTCTTAACAATATAATAATTAGAATTGTATTCACATGTTTCATTAAATTATATTTACTTATCACATTTTATTATACACTTAAGTGTAACACTGGTTTTATTATAACACTTCTTAATGTCTAGATCGAAATCTGTTCAATGTATTATGAAGACCTTCAAAACTCACAGCGGGATCACTTTCAGCCTTTAACTCTGCTTCACGACAATCAGACTGAAAAATATAAATTATTGTTGAGTACATAAAAAGTTCAATAATTTAAACTGTAGGATTAATAAAATCAAATCAATATATTCTAATCATAAAATAGGGTGCACACCAATTACTGTAAATCTACAGAATAATAATAAATAGTGTATTAGTTGATTTCTTTTAAAGCAAAGCTTTGCTTTTAACATATTTTCGTTAGTGGTACTATGTTATCAATTTAAATTACATGTTTATTGAACTCTGTAGAATGTAGATGTTTTAATTATTTATCATGTCTGTTATATTATCAAGGAAATACTGTAGTTAATTAAAAATAAAAATATATGTGTAAAATAAATTAAACTGGCAGATAACAAAATATATGCAACACGGTTTCTAATTCTTAGAAAATTATCTTAAATATAGCATCTGCAGCATAAAATATACATAAAATACCTGAAATTCTAATGGAATGTATCCCGTGCAAAATTTAGATTCTGGTGCTTCTTGTAGTTTCATGCGGACCGGAGGTAAGGTCAATCCAAAAAATCTATCACCATTTCTATTTGCAGGTATTAAGTCTTCAGCGCCCAGCAATTTATTAATTAATGATATAAGATGACTATGGCATTCATCAGTACTTAAGCCAGTCACTTTGAAATGTTTATCATTATCCATGATCTCAAATCTAAATTAAGAAAATAAATTACTCACAATTCAATAAGACATTATATAAGACCATCAAAAAAATGTTTATCAACCTTGGAGATGAACCGGCTTTTATAACTTTGCAATGATAAGTGCATTTAGTGAATATATTTCTGAAATGAGCATAAGTTCTTGTTGCATAAAATCCAGCTGGATAGATTGCACAGTCTGAATAATAAAACGGTGTATCATATACAATCTGAAATAAATAATACATTTTTAATAGATAAATAACACAATTATTAGGTATGAAAAACATTTAAAATCAAAATCAAAATTTTAGTGTAAGTTTGTAAACACACATTAATATCTAGACAGTGAGGTTTAATTTATAATTTATATGGAAATTATCATTATGTGCTAAGCTCACTTCTCCAAAATTGTAAATAGTAACATTTCCACTAGTTATTGGTTCTTGGACTTCTATAATATTATTAACCTTTTTTCGTTTAGCAGCAGGACGTCTTGGTTTAGGTGTTACACCTGTGAATAAACATTTGAAACCTTTTGTACAAAATTTAAATTGTTGGATAGGTACAAGCTACTAATTAATAGATTATAAACAAATAATATAAAACAATAACATGAACTGACTAACATTCTTCAAAATAAAGTCCATGGTACACAATTCGGTATGACATTTATTTTTAATTGTGTAGACATTCGTATGATAGTGAAGAATCTTCATACAATACAGATTTAAGTATTAAATTAAATGTTATTGACTTATTTACAGTTTATAAAATCAAATTTTTATTTTAAAAACGTTAAAGACTAAAAAATACACACCATTGGTAGTTGCTTTTTTTCTTGGAGTTGCCTTTTTTACAGTGGTTGTGTTTATAGGAACATCTGAAAATAAATATAATTGGTGTTAGATTGTTACTTTATAATTTATATGACTATGGACTATCTATTTTGTTAATTTATTGATTAAAGACATTTAAAAATTAAAAGGAATCAATTTTTTTTTTTTTTAATTTAGCATGTGATTTTTTTCAGTTAATTAGGTACTGGTCTAGTTGACCATCAACCAAGAAAATATTCAACTAGCCACTCAGGTTTAGTTGATGCCTACGGCCCGCCACTAAAATCTCTCGTGCTTTTGATGTTCTAGTCATTCGATATAGAATGTATATACTGCAGATAAAAAGGTACAAAATCACACACGTTAGGTATTCGTATGCAATTCACTAATTAGATACTTCTCATTTCTCAGAGTTTATGTGGCGAAGTAAATTAAACGGCCGCCATCCATTTAATGCAATTTTGAAGGACATATCAACATTTTGGAAACCTGCATAATTTTTTATTATTTTCTGCATTATTATTTATATAAATTATATGTGAATGATGCATATTTTTTTACTATTTATTTATTCATATATGATGTACATTATTTATCTATTTTTATTTTAAGCACCTGAATTTCTAGCTATTAGCTGATGTGGTGTATAGTTTTTTTACGATTTATTTATTCATATATATTATGTATCTATAAATACCGAAAGAATGTATGATAAATGATTTAAATGATTTTCTTACTTTTATCATGAAGTATTAAATTATAATATTATATAATTATTGACTTAATTTATTGATTATTGCCTAGAAAATCTATAACTAACATGAGAGATTTAAGTTGCAGGCGTCAACTAAACCTGGGTAAGGGAATATTTTCTTGGGGGAGGCCAACTAGACCAGTACTGTTGATTTTATCAGTTGGATTTAATGTGATAAATTGTTAAAATTAGAAAAAAAAAGGTGCAGGGCTGTACAGTAGGTTACAAGGGGGTCACTGTATAATGGATGGTATTAAATTTGAATTCAATGATATATCATTGTATAAGAAAAAACGATTCTGAGTGGAGACGGTATGTCAGTCTAGGTATAAGAAATATTATATACTTATCTATGGTATTAAAAAAAATTGACATACAATAGGTAACTATAATAAATTAAAAATTATTAATCATATCACAATATCCATTAGGTACTTATAACGCGTTATACATCAGCCACAAACCCTGGTAATATCATAGATATATTATAATAGTGTACTTTAGAAGTTCCAAGTACCCACTAATGGTATTATACAATCACAACAAAATAACTAAAATAGTTTCTCTAGGATTTTTTTATATAATATCGTCCAAATTTGAACTTAAAATGACTATAAAAATAAACTGTGCTTATGTATTTTTTAGATTTTTAGGTAATATAATTAACTAGTTACGTGGAATCTTGTTTTAAATTTTCAATCTTTAGATATACAAGTTGAACATTTTATACATTTTTAAGTGCAAAATAATTATTCAATTTTAAATTTGATAAATTTTGTCAAAATTTGATCTTAGGAAATACTAATATACAAATTCAGTGAAATTTTAATGTATCTACAGTTATTCGTTTTTGAATTACAACAAAAGAAGGAAATCGCTATATGAGAAATATTGAAAAAATTTTAATTTCAAACGTTCATAAAAATTTAATTTGACTTCCTTATAGTCATTTTTTTTTTTTTGGTAAAGTAGATAATCTTATAAGGAATCTTGTATTCAATTTTAAAATCTTAGATTTAAAAAGAAAAATTTTTACGAATTCTTAGCCCAAAATAATTTGCTAATTTTTGTGATTTTTCCATATTTTGTCAATTTTTGAACTTCAAATGCTTATATAAAAAAACTGTGACTAAGGATTTTTAATATTTTTCATCTGCCCTTGAAACAATATACTAGGAGCCTTCTATTAAATTTTCAAACTTTTTAACAAACAAATAAACCAGATTGATATTTTTAGAAAAAAAAACTAAAAAAAAATTTTAATGAAAGTGTCAATAAACAGTTCAAAATAAATCAAAATATTTTGAAAATGTTATCGTGCATAGAAAATGCAAATATAAACAACCAGTGAAAATTGCATGTATCTACGATCATTTGTTTTAAAGTTACACCAAAAACCTAATCAATTTTGTGTAAAAATTCCCATTTTTTCTTAATTTTTCTTATGTTTTTCTTGGCGCTTTTGAAAATTACTGGGAATTTTCAAAATGTTGACCTTCCCAATGCACCAACGATATTCTTTTTCCAATTGAACAAGAAACTGAAGATGAAAATCAAAGCGGTATTTTGACTACTTATCGTGTACGCAGATACAAAAAAAAATTTAAAAAAAAATACACATCATTGTAAAATCAATACATTCATCGTTCCACTCAGAATCTAAAATAAACTTAATTTTATAAAATGAGTAAATTTAATAAATAGTAAATTTACTAATAATTACTAATAATATTTAATGTTATTTCTTAAACTTATTAAATTAGTTATTTATTTAGTTGATATTAAGTATACAATTAAGTGAAGTTAATAAAAATGACTTGAAACTTATAAAGCGAAGATACATTTACCAAACTATCCATTTAAATTAATATTATCAGATAACACAGATTATATTATGATTTATGATGATTAATTATTGTTATGTTTTATATTTATAATTTCTAACTATTGCCATTGATTATGAATACAGTATTATTAGTATTCATAATCAATGATATTACATTATTGCTCAATATCAATACAACTACGACAATGGACATACCAAACACTTATCACTTAAATTTTTTTAAATATTTTAACATTATTTAACAAATACCAATTAGAGTTTTAAAGTCTTTTGGTGATTAAATTTATCAGGGCCAGACTTAAGAGTTTGTTGTCCCTAGTCATAATAAAACAACATCACTTTTTTGGATGAGGATCCAAATCAATTTAACTTAATATTGTATCTACAAAATGTTTGCGCCTATGTGGCCTAAGGGTAAATACTAAATATGCTACTGAATTCAATAATTTTGTTTCAACCTACATATTTGTACTTATAAAATGGTTAATAGGATTAAGATTTAATTACCTGGTGGAGGTTCATATCCATTTAACTTTTTAGTTAAAAACTTTAATTCTTCTCGGGCCATTATTAATTTTTCTTGATTTCGTGATATTTCATCACAAATGGCAGCATTTTCCTTAAATTAATGTACAAAGCAATTATCATAAAATAAAAAGTATTTATGATTAAACTACTGGATACACCTGTTTAAAAATTAATTAAAAAATAAAAGACACAAAAAAAGAAGTTATAGGTACTATTTAAATAAATAATTTTATGAACTTATCTTATTTACTAATGTGAATATATATGTTACAGGCAAAGTATTTAAGGGGATTGGAAGCGGCGATTTTCTGTCTTTATCTAACACACGTGGAACATAGGATTATAGACGTGTTCTATGTCCAACGTACCGATTAATCTAATGAAGCGATAAGAATTCTGAAAACAGATTTGAATTTGTCGTCAAGTCTACTTGAGATCGACTTTCCCACATTTTTGATTTTTTGATTTAAACTTCTCCAAAAGTTGAAATTTGTAATTTTTTTAAGTACTTTTTATAATATATCATTTTTATGATTTTGGTGGGACAATATCAAAAATGTGGGAAAGTCGATCTCAAGTAGACTTGACGACAAATTCAAATCTGTTTTCAGAATTCTTATCGCTTCATTAGATTAATCGGTACGTTGGACATAGAACACGTCTATAATCCTATGTTCCACGTGTGTTAGATAAAGACAGAAAATCGCCGCTTCCAATCCCCTTAATTAGGATTTATAATATTGGCATAGTGCTTAATTATTGTGTGCAACTAACAATTTAAGTATTTGAGGCTGGAAAATATTTATTTTTAATTCACAATATTAGGTACCTATGTCATTTTTAGGGTTTTTATAGACTTTTAAAAATTATTAAGATTTTAAATCAATTCTTTTTTAAGCTTATTTTTTTATTTAATAGCATATTTCATAATATATAAGGTTATATTACAAAGCATAAAACGTCCATAAATTCTATTAAATTCTACATCTTATTAAATTATTATTTATTTTTAAATAGATCATTATTTATAAGAAATTTTGTGTAACAGTCATTGAAATTGTTTACATTTTTATGTTATAAATAAATAACATATTTTTTATTATAAAATAAGTTATCACCCGTATATTATATAATACCTTTATCATACTACCATTAAATATACATGTCTCAATACAAATTTCTAACAGAATTTAAAACAAAGTTTATTTTTTCAAGCACTTTTACACTATACCCATGCAAAGGAGGAAATAAAAGGTTTGAAAATATCCTAGTTTTCCCTTAACATCCATATCACATTTAATTTAAGCACAATAGAACAAATTAAGGGGGTATTTAACCTGTCGTTAATCATTTTGGAGGATATAAGCTTTAAGGCGTAACTTGAAATTGTCAACCCCTATATATTTAAGAAACTTAATGAAAAAAGAAATTAATGATTATTTAATGAAGGTAGTCAAGGCTTATAAAAGCGATAAGTAGTGTAATATTGGTTCATATAACCGGAATAATTTCAAATAAATTTTAAAATATATCAAATTAATTATAATATCTTGATTAAAAGGTATGTTAAAGCTCAGATACCTAGGTGTGAAAATATATGTCAAGTACTTAGAAGATATTATAAATTAATTTTGGTTATTTCGACCATACAGCGACTAACGACAGGTCAACGATGATACAGAGTGTACTTACAAAAACCATATCTTTAATAACCTTCTTTAACTTTTTACATTTGGTATCGTATCGACTAGTAGGATTAATAATATTATTAATCCAGACATTTCGATTATCCACCGGATCCATTGTAAAATGTCAAGTTCACTTATAATTTATAAATGTACAATAGGTTTCGAAACAATTAGAAATTTACAACCGATTGGGTAAGTTTACTAAAAACAAAATTGTAAATATTAAAAATTTAAAAAGTAGAAAATATTTTATTACTTGTGGATACAGTGATTAATGATTATAGCATAAGATAATGAAAAAAATATTATTATATTTATTAGATACCAATCTGGTTGATACCATAGAACAATATTATATGTCTGTGATTATCATAGATAATAGATAGCGAGCCGTCAGTTGTGACCAATATTGAAATCGGCCGCCATTTACAAAGCAGGCAATGTTTACATTTATTTTACATTTATTTATATACATATATAATACTAAATCACGGCCATATAGATATATATATATATATATATCTATATGGCCGTGTACTAAATAATATTATTTTGTTAACGTCGCCTGCTTTGTAAATGGCGGCCGACTTCGATGACAAGAAAGAGATGTTATCTAGTTGTTGTATATATCCATGGTGATTTTATCATGTAATCTGTGATGTAGTTAATTTATCATGAAGATTAAAGATGTTTATTCCAAAATAAATATAATTATTATTTTATTATTTTCTATAATATTATATTATTTATATTGTTCTAATTTCCAATACAATGTTTTTTATGCATTATATAGTGACTGCTGTTATATCTAAGGTACTATATTAACTATTAAGCTTATAAAGTGCTCTATTGTATCTACCGATTCTTTATACTGATTTTACTTCTGCGTCTATAGTTCTATCAATCCGTGTAATAGTTTTTGTGTACACATACTTGGTGTACTCTTTGAACCATATTTTTTTTCTTGTTCACGTTTATGGCAACTATGACGTTATGGCGATATGTGATAGTTTATGAATTCTGATAATGTTTTTAAAGTTATCATAATGTCTAGAGTCTAGATGACAGATGATTGTGAATTTGAGGTTTGACCACTTGAGTCTACGTATGACAGTGGGTCAACGCCGTACGGAGGTTAGTTTTAAACCTATTTGAATATTATAGGTATTCATCGCATTTATAAAATAATGATGCTATACCTATATGTTCTTGAAATAGTGAACTATCCCATAGGTCATTTTGAAAGAATGCGGGCCTTACTTTGATCTAAATGGTTTATGTAAGTCAAAATACAAATTATTAATTCAATTTAATACTGTAGATAAGCCAGTTTTAACAGTCAATAAATGTATGTCAGTATTGCTTCTAGTCAATTTCTATTCTATTCTGGAATTTATTAATATTTTATTGAAATCTTCATCAATTCCCAACCATTAATTCAACTTCTGAGTAGGCTCTAAATTTTGCTTTGTCATTTGTGGCATTAGTAATATTTTGTGTTATTTTAAATGTCCAATCAGAATTTTCCTAACAAGCAATATAATATATCAGGATGTCTTGGTATATATCCTTTCATAGAACTCGTAACACTGAGATTAAGAACTATTGACTTTATAAACAATATTGTTTTTGATAATGGCGTTATTAAATACTGCTTGGCACTTTCATTTGTTTGATTCTTTTTCGGATTTACATATTTTTCATTGCTGTTATTGAACCAGTTTGTATACGGAACGTATGAGTGATATTAAATTGTAATTATTTTTAGTCTGTTGAGTAATGTGAGTCAATGTCTAACACATGCGTTGTAGAATTGCCTTTAAATTAACATTCTAAAAAACATAGAATTAGATTACTTTTAGACATTTATCTATGGACTATGAGATTTTCTTTTTTAGACCGCTTTAAAGCAAAATTATGACAAATTGGTTAAACTGATTATAACTTGTAGTGTAAACCTAATTTTTATCCCATTTGACATTACACATTGGCTTATATGTCAAACAATTGATAATTTTTCATCAATATAATTAATTGTTCCATTTTCTTTATAGACTAGTTCAATAGTTATTGTATCAACTATCAGTTATTGCTTTATTCAATCAGTATTATACAAAGATTGTCAGAGATTGAACCAATTGTCCCTGTTCTCACAGTCTGGAAAAATTAATAATTTGGTTGTAATTGACAACAGTTTTTGAATGAGACACGAGCTATATTACAATATTATACAACTTTTTTTTATAGAATTTACCTGGTTACTACAAACAGGATTCTTTAGCTTGATATTCATGTCCATATTTCTCTCTGATAAAGTACATATATCTTAGACTATTTTCTATATTAATTATTGGATTTTAAAAAAAAAGTTGTAAATAGCGTTGTATATATAATACAATATATATAATATTATATAATACAATATTTTGATAAAACGTTCTGCCATTTTTATATTTTATATTATTTGTCAGAATTTATTGTTGCCTATAGTATTTTTACTTTTAAGAACTGATGCAAATATTTAAAAAATTATTTTTGTGTTTTATAATAAATTAACATATTTTTTCCAGAACCCCAAATCATCTCGTGGCACAATTAGATATGTATCTGCAGGCATTGGTTGAGTATTAAAAAATCAAATGCTGTGGCAAATTATAAAATTAAAAAAAAGCAAGGTAATGTATTCTAGCTTTATATATTGTTATGTAAACATTTAATCAGTAATTCAATAATTATTTTATAGATTGATTCATATCTACTCATGCTAGAAAGAGGAGTATGCAATTATTACAAGATACAAGCATATAAAAGTAAACAAAATATATTATGCTTATTGTGGTGTCAAGGTACAGGTAATTTACTAAAATAAATATATTATAAATTATTGAATAGAATTAAAATTAAATGTTTTTTATAGATGAAAAACTTGACATATTTACTTAAATACAAAGGCTGATTCATACAAATAAAAAATAGCAGCCACTATTTTCTGCGAGCCATAGCCCATAGACAACTTTATGGAGAACATAACAGATAAATTGAAAAGTACTACCTAATAAAGTATTTGAAAAAATTAAATTAATTGTTTTTTTACTATTGGTTTGGGATTTATTTTTTTTTAACGGTGAGTTAATAAAAAAGTAAATTTATACAAATATAAATATATATATAAATTATATATTTTTAAATATTTTATTTTACGTATCTTATTATGTATATTCTGTATAACGCTATATAAATTGCCACCTACTGGCTGAACCAAAATATTTAGCACTTTTATATTTCATAGTATTTCACTTAATGTTAATTTATAATTGAATGCAATTAGTATTTATTGAGTCCAGCACCAGACACGATAAGAAGAAGATTAAGTATAAAATTATTAGAAAAATGAAAAATACATTAACTTATTTTACAATTGTTAACTCTACTTATTTATTTGTACAACTACTAATTCATGTGTCTAAATATGTTTATATTTAAAGTTGTATAAAAAAATATGTGGAGTACCCAAACATTATATTTTTTAATTGTCAATACCTATCATTTATTTATTTATTGTTTAAATACCTATAAATATCATATTGTTAACGTTATCTATGGAGTGTGGTATGTGCAAATATTGTTAATTGGGATGCCCTCTTAAATAAAAATAAAATAATTTTCAACCATCATCAAATTCAGTTATCATAAATCATAATATACAACATTTTGAAAAAGCTTTTTATCAATATTAAAGATTAAACCATTGATGGAAAACTTTTTTAACTTTTTCGTTTTCATTTTTGTTTATTGATTTAAAAAATGTGCATTTGTTTAACATTTTTAAAAACGTTATTTTTCTATATTATTTCCAAAAAACTTTTGATAATTTTGTTATTGCTTTTTTTTTTAATATTTATTCTTATAACTTATAATAGTAGCGGGCAATGCAGGAATGCACTTAAAAGTTCAAATTAATTATCATTAAATATTAATATTTAAATTTTAAATCAAAATTATAATTTATTTGAAAATTTTAAGTTAAATGGTTTTTAAATTTTAAAAGTGTATTGGTAAAGACTAAAGTGAAACACTACTTCAGATTTCTAGAGTAAATAACTAAATAATAAAAACAATTCTGAACATACAATTGTATACAAAATAAAAATATAAAATAGGTACATTAAGGTACATCTAAGAATCAAAATAAAAAATTTGCTCTTCCACATTGAAACAAAAATAATAAATAGTAAGTACAAAATAAATATTAAAACTGATAAAAATGAAATGTATTGTCAACAATTATTAGTTTTTAGAATTATCATTTTTCCAATAACAAATATATTTATTTATTTTTTCCTATATTATAATTTGTTTTCGTTTTTGTTATTATATTTTATCTGTTTAAACTTTTACCATCCCTGGAATAAACATATCAATTATTGTTCTTACTATTATGAGTATTGATACTAAATGAGTAAAAATTATATAAAATTTAATTAAAGCTGATGTAACATTTTAAGTGTTACTGTTTAAAATTCAGTTTAAGTAATAAACATTGATCAAAGAAGTGTATAAAAAGCCTGGAAAAGTTGCTGTCCTGTATATTAGGTTGTATTAATCATCATTTAGTAGGTCATTTTTTTATTTGTCAAATTTAAATTTAATGATAAATCATTGCTTATGAAAAATAATTCTGAGCTAATTAGGTCAGTTGGTCAATGTTCTTCTATGGATATTTTATAATAAATATTTTAAATTGCTATTAGTTTTTTTTTTTTTTTTTTTTTGTATTAGGAAGGAATTAGGAATTAGGTAGGTTGAGTTAATTTTTACCAAACATAAATCCTATATTATATTATAATATTATTTCATATCATATTACTAGCTAATATTAACTTAGAACTTAGAAGTTAATACTGATGTACAGTAAAACGGTGTGTATATAGGTTTGAAATATGACTAACATATAGTTTAACTAATTTTTGAAAATTTCATTGTGTATATTAGGGTGTTTTCAACCTGTGTGTCTCACCTCCCAGGGTTGTCACCAGTTATTATCAAGGAAGGCATCTGCAGTAAATAAAATAAATTTGTTTATTTTATCATTATTCCTTTTGGGGGCTGCTTAAA